CGAGCCAAGGGCTGGATTAGGACCTTGTCCTTCATTATATAACTGTTTCTCTGAGTGTTTTCATAGCACTCAGCCCTCCCACCAGGCAGAGTCCCCACTGGCAAGGGGGAATGTCATGGTTTTCTGAATGCATAGCTTTGATTTCCTGCTGGGCTGTAGCAGCAGACAATTCTGCTCCCCCCAGCTCATGCACCTTGCCAGGCATTAACCAAGATTCAGGCCCCTACAGGGCACCAGGCAGCAAGCTGCAGATGTCATCTTGTCTAGGGCGGGTGATGGAGATGTGGAGAGAAGCAGAACGTCGGAGGCCAGGCCGGTTCAGTTCCTCCATGGGGCTCTTTGAGCCCCGCAGATGAACCGACCTGGCCTGGCCTCTGGGACCCCACGCTGTCCCTGCGCTGCCCTGGCTGCCTGCCCTCACATTCCTGTCCTTGCACATCATCTCCTTCCAGCTGCTGAGGAAAACAGCCCCTGCTGCTACCAGCGGCTGGGGTGAGGAGGGGGAGACGCCTTCACAGCACATGAGCTCTGCGGGAGCTGGGGCTGCTGCTGACCTTGGAAATGCAGGGCTTTTTTCTTCCCAGCTCCAGGAGAAGCAGGAGGCGAGGCATAGCCGGCTGGCACTGCACCCTCCTTCCAGCACACCAGTTTTCCTCCCTCACCTTTGCCCACCCTCACCCAAGAAAACCAGGGGCTGTGCAGTGCTGTCACCCACAATCCCTTGGAGAGTTTGACAGTAGGTTGTCTGCCCTGTACCTTTCCCCTCTTGAAAACTGGGGATCTTTTCCCCACTGAATAATGTGTGATGGCCAAGAATTGGGCAATGGGCCAATTGTGATGCCTTGGGCATGACTAACAACAGTGGGACAGGTCAACTGCTCTTCTCCAACACAGCGCCAAGGAGGAAATCCTGACGCCTTCCTGCTTCTCTGAGATTCACAGTGTGTGTGCTGAAGGTGACTTGGAACTGTCCCAGGGTTGTACTTGATACTGAGTATTGCCTGTAGCTCCCCAAAAGGAAGAGGTTTTCACCACTCACCTGGTGCCATTCAGCAAGATTTCACATCCAAGAGTCCAAAGCAGCCCCTCAGCCAGCAGCTCCCACATCATCCCCCCATTCAGGCAAACTGGATGTGCCCTGTGCAAGGCACATCTCCAAACTAAACTGCAAATAATTCTGAATCTAAATCAGTGCTACAATCTAGGCTAAAAGTCATTTCAGGACTTGGTTCATTCCACTTGACCACTGGCTAATTTTTATGGTTGCACATCATATTTTTTCCTGTTGTGGATGAGGAAGACCTAAAGGTGGGAGAAGGACAAGAGAAAAACAAGAAGTAGTACATGGGATCCTGCCAACACTTCCACATTTGTGTGGTCCCCCCTCAGCCTCATTTGCAGTCAATAAATAGTATTAGCAAAAAGGGCTCTTTTCCCCTTAATCTCTTCATATTCTGTGAGCCATCATTGTTGCCTGGAATAATCACATGCTCTATTTAGCCATAACACACTCAGGGAACCTCAGGCACCTGGTGCAGCTCGTAAGCTGACTTGCCAAAGCATCAGCTCCATGTGTCGGGCTCAGAGCAGGATCATTGCCTTTCCTAGTGTTGTGTTGTTTGTTATAGGTATTTTCTGGCCAATTCATCACACTGCCTGCTGGGTCAGAGAGGTGTGAAGCTCAGCATTCTACCTTGCTGTGCTGGAAACCTTCGCTGGCCCACTATGAGCCTGGGCAAGGCAGTGATTTGCACTGGGGCAGATAGCAACGCTTGACATGTAATTCTGCAAACACCTTTCCCGCATTTTACTTCTTCCCCCACAGTTCAAACCTACTGGCAGAGATACTGGGCTGCCTCTGCTTTCCCTTTGCCTGCCTGTCCTTGGGAAAGCAGCGGTGGGATGAGGCTGCTGGCTCTTGGGGAGCAGTTTCAGAGCCTGTGCTGTTCTTTGCGCAGCCCTCAAGCCTCCGCTGCGTCAGGGGCTGATTCACCATCCCCAGCTGTAAGGCTGAGTTAGTGCTGATGGATGGAGCCTGATCAGGATGGAGCCTGATGGACAGGGAACGTCTCTGCCAACAGCCCGAGCAGGGGCAGTGCCACGCTCGGTAGGACACGGTCAGTGGGCAGCAGCCCTGTCACCGAGCAGAGACTATAGGACAGTTTGTCCTCTACATATGGGAACAGGCCTTTCCCAAATCCCTGCTGCACCTCCCCACACCAGCCCATCAGCCAGCAGTAGGCTTTTCAGCTTAGCAAGCATCTACTTGTTTAAAAGGGATAAAACAGCAGCAGCTCAGCCTTTTACTCAAATCTTTTGGAGAGAAAGTCTCGCTCTCTCCTCCTCTCCTTTCTCTAGGAAGATGTTCCTTCAAACTTGCTGTATGGAAAATAAAATTACCTTCTTCTCCTCACATGCACTTGTTCTCATTTGCAGGCCCAGGCATGCTGCTATGGGGAGGGCAGGGCAGCTAAACACACGTGAATAACCTCACACCAGCACTGCAGATGTACATATGACATTTTTTTCTACGGTTCTAGTACCAAAATATCCCGGGCACAAAGGGATTTGGACTCTACGGCTAATGATCTACGCAGTCCTCTAAGGAAACTGCACAGAAGCCCTGCTAATGGCTTCAAGGGGAAACGCTTCAGGCCCTGGCTGCTGTTACTGCTGCTCAGGGAATTGTGCTTTTAGCTCTGGCATGCGATAAAAACCTTTTCTCACTGTTGCAGACATGATGGCTCTTCTGGAGAGAGGAAAGGCATTGACTAAGCTCAGGCCATTAACTACCTTTAAGCACACACGGAGGAGGACACAAAGCAAACACCTCCCGGTCATTCAACACCCGAGGTTAGTTAATTAACCCCCGCGACTCCCCCGGCGTGCCCTCTCTGCTCCCCAGGTCTTGCTCCCTGCTCCAAGCACTGCCTGCTCCCTCTGCCCCGGGAGAGAGCAGCAGTGACAGAGAGCTCTGGGCATAGACCGGGGGCACTCAGCCCAGGGCGCTGAAGGTTCCCTGCTGCCAGCCAGGCAGTCTGGCAAGCCCCATCTTGGGGAAAGCACTTTGGGATAAGCTCTCCTGGTGTTTCATTTCCCCTTCGTGCCCCTTCTCTGGAAAAGGCAAAGGGAGCTTTGTCTGAGGAAAAGCAGCAAGACACACTATTTCTTTAGCAAGGTGTGTCTCTGCAGTGCCGGCCTTAGTGTGCTCAAATCCAGCAGTGCCACTGTCACCTGCTGCATCTCGCTGCCCATCACAAGGCAAGAAGGTGCCTGGGCAAGAAGGTGCCCTCTACCCATTGCCCCTTCCCATGAAAGTCACACCACGGTGCCTTCCTCCTCTGACTGATTCATACTGAGACAATGGCCTCGCTGGTGTGATGGCAGATTTTGCAATGGGTTTTAATGAGGTATTTACAAGTTCCAATGCAGGCTCCTTGCACAAGGAGTGTGGCCGGGCCCTGGCAGCTGGTTGGGCTTTTCATTGACATTCCTGCGACTCCACCGATTGCAGCACAGGCACAGTGGAAAACATTTAGACATCAGAAATGCCAGATTAATTATCTCTTAATTGATACCTCCACTTGGGGACAAATGAAACCGGAACATCTCTCCTGCCCTGGGAGCCTGCCACTTACAGATTTACAGCTAAAAATACCGCGGCAGTCCCGTGGCTAATCAACTTCACTGCTTACCCTGGGTGAGGTTATAAAATTGTCTCAGGCTGGCACGGCGAACGAGGGACCAGCTGCAGCATCTGGATGCAGATGGCATTAACACTGTGCAGTTTCCCCAGTGCCCAGGCGAGAGGCACCTCACCTCTGGGCAGTCTCAGGGCCCCCACAGTTGGGTTTCTCCAGACTAGGATTCAGACAGAGTGCACTTTCTTGCCCATAATTACGGGCTGCGGAGAGAAAAACCTCATCCCTGTGCCTTTTAAGAGTCCTTATGCGCCCAGTGTTTCCCTGTAGTGTAACATTTCCAGCGAGCTTGGGAATCACGCTTGATGCTTGAAACAGCCTTTTTGTGCAGTGCTCTCCTGCACCTACAACACTTCCCAAGGGATCTCCACCCCAGCTCCTTACAGGAATCCACACAGAGGCCAAATTGCCACAGTGACCTCAGTTTAAGTTACCGTCATCTTTATTTTCTTCACATATGTGCAAACAGAGGAGATCGCAATGGTGGTGTTCTTAAAAATAACAAAATGTATTTGCATACATTTCCCTATGTACAGGTGAACAGCCACAAAGTAGTCTTCTTTTGCACAGCAAAAGATCTAGAGCATTGAGACCAGGGACAGGACCGGGGCCCAAAAAAAAAGGTCTAACTTAAAAACAATAATAAAAAAAAACCCCTTCACAACAGTGCAAACCTCTTGGACACGACAGCACGATGGAGTGACTTTAATGGAGAAAACGGTGGGGGGGCCTCTCGGATGTGAGATTTCTGACTGTAAACAAGGCGCAACACCTCCCTCCCGCCGCCCTCCCCGGGGAAAGCTATTCCAGGAATTTGGCAGATCTTCAAGGGCTGAGCCGGAGGTAAACAGCCCGCGGCCGCCTCCCCTCCTCGGGCCGCGGCGAGTTGGGGTCTGGCTCCGGCGGCCACCGACACGGGAGGGGCGGCTGCTCGCCGGGATGCTGCGGGACGCAGAGGCACCGCGGGGAACCAGCGGGACCGCGAATTCCCCGAGGGGCCTCGGAGGGGTCCGGTGCGCCCCGGTGGGGCCGTGCACGCCCGGAAAGGACGGTGCACTTCAGGAGAGGCCGGAGGGAACCCGGTGCGCCCCTGCGGCGCCGCTCACGCCCGGAAGGGACCGTGCATTCCCGGAGGGAAATCGGTGCGCCCCGCTGGGGCCGTGAACTCCCGGCAGGGACCGTGAACTCCCGAGGGGGTCAGAAGGAACTCGGTGCGCCCCGGCGGGGCCGTGCATTCCCGAAGGGAACCCGGTGCGCCTCGGCGGCACCGCGCACGCCCGTATGGGCTCGAGTGAGCGTTCAGCCGGTCTCGGGGTCGCCGGGGGGCGGCTGCTCGGCGTCGCTGCCGGGCGGGGCGGCCCCGTCTGTGCCGCCGCTCTCCAGGGAGGACTCGCTGCCCGTGCTTTCCCCAGAAAGCAGGCGGCGGACGCGCAGGTCGGCGCGCAGCGAGCGCAGGTCGTTTCCCAGGCTGAGCTCGCCCAGGTCGCGGAGGAGCTGGCCCAGCTCTGGGCTCTCGCCGCGGCCGGTGCTGGGGCGCAGCAGCTCGCCCTCGGGCTCGCCCAGCGCTTCCAGGATGTCTTCGCAGTCGCAGTGCATGGCCCGCTCTTCCTGCTCCTCGCCCAGTAGGTCCTCTGTGATGGAGCCCAGCTTGGGCGCGCTGCGGCTCCGCTCTACCGGCGGCTTGTAGCAGCACTGCCCGTTGAGCAGCTTCCGCAGGGGCACCAGCGGGATGCTCTGCTCGCCCACCAGCTGCTGCTGCTGGTGCCGCGCGTCGTCCCGCTTCTTCAGCCGGCGGAACTCGGCCAGTGCTGTGGCCGAAGTCTGGTAGAGCAGCAGGGCCATGGCCTTCGCCTTCTCGGGCTTGGAGACTAGCACGGCGTGGCAGCGCAGCATCACCGCCTTGTGCTTCAGCTCGTGGCGGTAGATCCAGGCGAAGACACGGGGCAGGCGAGGGTCGGCCACGCAGTAGGTGACCCGGTGCAGCAGGTAGAGGTGGCCGGGCCGGCGCAGCCCCTTGTCCTCGGCGTGGGCCATACGGATGCCCTGCGCGCTGATAGTCAGCTTCATCTTGGTGCCCTGCCGGCCCGCCTCGCTCTTGCTCCAAATCTTGCAGACGGCCAGGTCGGTGCAGCCCTCACCTTTGGACTGGATGGTAGTGGCGTTGCCTAGGTAGAGCACGGTATACGTGGGGTCTTCGCTGGTGACGCGAAATTTCCGCCGCTTGGAGCGGAACATGCTGCCCACGCGGTGCAGGGCGCTCTCGGGGCAGGCGCGGGCCAGCGAGGTGAGGGCCGAGTAGTGCACGCTCACCGCGTACCCCTTGGGCTTGCTCTGCCGCCGCGCCTCGCCGGCCGCCAGCTCCACCTTGCTCCGCTTCCAGGGCAGCATGGCCCCGCGGAGCCGCGGCTAGGCGCCGCGCCGACGGCTCCGGGCGCGGGGGGGCATGCCACGGCGGCGGCGGCTGGGCTGCCCGCCCGCCTCACATCCTTGCGGGCGCCGGGCCGCCGCGGCCGTAGATATAGGCGGGCGCCGCGCTCCGCGGGCGCGGAGAGGGGAGGCCCCGCGCACCGAGGGCGGAGCGCCCGCTGCCCGGGCCCGCCGAGCCGGCGGCTCGCTGCTCGCCGCCCGCCCGCCGCCGCCGCTCTGCGCCGCCCGCCGCGGCGCCCCGGCCCCGGCCCCGGCCCCAGCCCCAGCCCCGGCCCTGCCGCGCCGTGGGGCGGGCAGGGGCGGGCACGGGGCGGTGCCAGCCTGCCGGGCGGCCCCTGTCCCCTCCCCGCTCGCAGCGGAGCGCGGCCTCCAGCGGGGGACACTCGCCGGTGCCGCCGCAGCGCGGGAGAGCGGGGACCCCCGTGCGCCCCGTCCCGCCCCGCCTCTCTGCCCACGGCCATGTGCGGAGAGCGGGTGCCATCGCGCTCTCCTGCAGCTTTCGTCAGCACGGGCGGGGAGAATGGAGAGGGCACCCTGGGGGATCCGTCTGCCCCCAAATCCCCTTAAACTGCTAAAAATCCCAAGGCCGCTGCGGGACCCCACGCTCTGGGAGATCCCACGGCCAGGAGAGCCCCAACCTCAGCTGCCGGCCCCGCCAGGGTGTGCCATGGATACATTCTGCTCTTGCAACATGATCTTTCCTTTGGTTTGGGTAGTCCATCTCCGAGACCTGAAGGGCCTGCAGCAAATACTAGTTATTATGTATGAGTAATCCTTTGCTCTTTATTTATATGCAGCAGCTGAAGAACAAGAAGCTGTCTTGTAATTTCTTGTTGGGGTTGCTGAGTACACTCACAGACATAATGAGAAAGTTGGTCTCTGTGTTGTTACGATAGCTTCTTGTGTCATGTGTCAGATCCTTGCCAGAAAGAGCAGAAATTCCAGTGTTGCAGATAATGGTGCTTCATCAGGGTTTGGATAAATGCTCGAAAAAAGGGGGGCAATACATACTCGTTTAGTAAAATATGTACACCACTTGCCTAAACTATTTGACAAATAATTTCTAGAGTTTGGATCAATTAAACCAGTATGTAGTTATCGTTGTTGTTATTATAAATATTACTATTATTACATCATGCCATCTAGCAGATTATTTGGGAATTGCAAGTAATCACAGTGACCAGCATGAAACTATTAAAAAGCACTTGCCCATTTGCTTTTATTTCCAAAATCCCCCCCACTGGAGGGCAGCGTGGTCAGCACTATCCCTTGAGAGTGCCCAGCTCTCCCAGGGGACACCTGGTTTCCAGAGGCCTGTGGTAGGTGTGGGTCAATAACATGCTGCATTTCCTGTCTTCAGCAGCTCTAGCACAGCAGTTTCACAACGTTAGGAAGGCTTTTGCTTGCCCTGAGAAGTGAATGTGTAAATGCTCCCATTTTCCAATGAGAAGACTTCAGCTGGAGAGATGCATGGGCTGGTTGTACACCCATCAGTGCACATGAGCTGTTGCATGGCTAGGGCTGGGGCAAACCAGCCAGGCCCCTCGAAGTGAATCCCAGCACCCACTGAGATGCACATTTGGGTTAAGCACTGTGCTGAACCAAGCCATCTGCCTCTTCAACAAAACCACATTGGGACCTCACAGGAGGGCAGGTGAAGGGCTGAGGTCTTCCCCGGCCGCAGTGCCCAGCAGCAGCTGCTCTGCGGGGGGGTCTCAGCTCTCAGCCCTGATGCAGGATGGGTGCCAGGCACCCACTGGGAGCCCCCACGGAGCTGTCGGTGTGGGGGGCAGGAGGGGCAATGTGCTATGCAGCAGCCTGTGGCAGACAGCTCCTGCCGGCCTGCAGGACCATCCCACTGCATGGCAGGGAAAGACTTTGGTTTGTACAGCTGATTCATCTCCACATAGCATTCAATGTACTTTTCTTTTGTCTTCTTTGTCTTGCAAGGTAAAACAGAAGATGCTGCTCTGCACATAAAATAAATCCAATGGCTTGAGGTGACACCCACGCATGGTGTGGCACTCCATGTGCCCGAAGATCTGCCTCCTCCCTCAAGGTGTTCTGCTGAACCACAGCTTCTCAGACCCACAGACCCACGCCTGCCCCGTGCTCAGCAGCTGCCACCTGCCTGAGCAGTGCCTGTGAGCTGCAAGGCCGAGAGCAGCCCCATCCGCTCCTCTGAGATGTGTGGGCACAGTCATCTCTCCATACGAGGGAGTTGCTTTGCCAAAACCCTGTCTGCCTCCAGCTGTGGGCAGAGGAACCTGTTCTGAGCCTTGGGCTGGTGGCTCAGCAGGCAGGTGTTTGCTCCAGGTAGGATGGAGCAAGCAAGGAGGCCCACACACCTTCCTGCAGTGCTGCCTCTGGAGGGAGGTTAGAGCTGGGGGGCTGGTGCTGGTACTCAGACACTTCTGATAATGATTCCCACAGAGCTGTTTGCAGAGTCATGCTGGGCTCTGCCATCCCAATTGAAGTGATCTGCGTTCAGGAACATAGACTTCAAGTTTTCACAACGTGGCTTGAGCAGGCTGCTGTGTCCCGTGGCTCTCCAACAGTCCTTGGGCATATTTTCTGCAAACCCCAGTGGTGTGTAAGGTGAGGTGGGAGCTCTGACCCCTGTGTCTTCATCATGGCATCCCCAGTCCCAAGGCAGCAGCACTGCCATTTCTGCATTGCAGTCTCAGGGTAAGGGTTTCCTTATCAGCATCTCAGAGACCGGCTGGGGACTCCAGAACTGGTGGCTAGGGAGCAGCAGCACTGCAGAATACCTGCCTGTGTACCACTTGGAAGTGCAGCAGCAGGGGAAGTGTTTTGTGGTCACAACCCTGCTCGAGAATGGAATCTGGCTTGCCAGTCAGTGTGCCAGACCATTGTAGCTCTCTTTGCTTCATTAATGGGCCCAGTTAATTCAGGACTAGCTCTTTCCTGCTATGTGGCAACTGCTTCAGTTCTGGGCACAGATGATTGCCACATGCTTCAGCAGCTGAAGAGCTGTTACAAATTGTTACATATTGTGGTGGTCTGTGACAGCGATTCCCACACAAAATGCTCTGAGTTCTGTGCTGGGCTGAGGAGCTGTGCCACAGTTTTTGGGTAAAGTCTGGCAGCCAGGAGCAGCCCAGTTAAGTTTGGGGCACCTGCTCCATGCTTGGGGCTGTTCCTGTGGATATCTGTATTTCATTGCCGGGAGGAGAAGCTGAGGCACAGTGAGAGCAGAGCCTGCCCTGTGGGGCCAGGGCGTGCTGCTTGCTTCCCACTGAGCACGAGGCTCCCTCCTGGCCTTCAAGGCCAGCAGCACCCGTGATGTGTAGGACTTGCACGCTGGGGGCTTATCTGCATGGTGCTGTAGCCCGGGGGGAGTGCAACAGCCTGCTCTCTATTTATGCAATATCCCAGCAGCTGTTGAGCATCACCTGCCTTCCTGCACGCATGCAAATCCCAAGTGAGGCGTGGGAAAATCTGTAAGATACCATCTCTGCCCTGCGGCCCAGAGCCGGCAGCACAGCGAGTGCTGCACTTGGCCCTCGGCAGACCCCACTCCGTGCCACACTCCATCCCTCTCCTGCCTTGGCCACTCCAGTCTGTGCTGGAACCCATGGTCACACCCCACCACGAGCCCGTAGGTTCTGGGGTGCACGGTGTCTCTGGGGTGCAGACAGGCAGGCAGCTGTCCAACACCTCTGCTGGAGGGAACTGCTGGGCTGCCCATGCTGGCTGCCCTGTGCAGAGTCACTGCAAACCGACGTTTCACTATGTTCCAAAACAAAGTATTTCAGAATCTCTATATGCAACATGTCAAAGTTTTGACTCTTTGTTCCGAACTGGGACAAAGGAAATGCTGAACTGTCAGGTTTTTCCATGAAGTGGAAAGACTGAGTGGCTCCTGAGCCTCACAGGCCACCGGTGGTGGCAGGTAGGGTGCTATGGCCCCCAGCCCCGCCAGCTGACATTCAGGTCTGGCCAGCAGCAAGTCACCAGGAGTGCAGACAGCCTGAGACAAGTTGGCAGGGCAGGGGGCAGCATGGCCTGCTCAGGGAGAAGGGTCCTTAACAGCCTTTAGTGGAAGCTGCATGCCACCCCTGCTGCCCTCCTGCCTCTGAAGGGGAGCAGCACCCCATCCTGCAGCAGGCGTGCCCTGGCAGGGCTCGGGGGCTCGGGGCTGGGAGCACAGGTGATGCCGAGCCATATGAAGACTGTAGGAGGTCCATGTATTGGCAGGCCTGGATCCCCTGGGGGCACGCAGGGTGATGCCAGTGCTGCTCGGGGTGCCGAAGCCCGGCCGTAGCCCTGGGGCCGGGGCTCTGCTGCTCGGCGGGGCCGTGCTGGTGTCGGCACACCTCTGCCGTTTGTTTTTCAGTCACCCACAGCGGCACACCCCGCTTCCTGCACAGGCCGCCCCGGCGTTTCCTGCACCCGCTGCTAAAATTAGAAGGGCAGCTGGTGTCCAAAGGAGCAGAGCCCTTCCTTGGGTGTCACGGCACCCTCGGGGGGGCTGGCTGGGTGGGCTGGTGCTGGACATCTGTCTTCATAGCATGCTGCCAGTCAAGGGGCACAGAGGTGGTGTTGGGGCAGCATCCTCTGCTCAACGCTGCGTACCGGGGACTGCCACCATGGGGCCGTGTGGAGGGGCAGCAGTGGGAAGCGCGGGTGAGACTTCCCAGCAGAGCTGACACAATGGGAGCTGCAGAAATCTCATCGGCTTCCCATCCAGTGCTCTGTACCTTCAAAGAGACAGGCAATTCTCTCTAATTAACTTGCCCCCACCCTGCCAGGCAAGGAGGTGATTTTATCTTCATAGGGCTGGTGGATGAAGCAGAGTCTAAAAAACTCACCCGAGGGCCCCAGCAGGGCTGGTGTCTTCTCAGGGCTCAGCTTTGGCACACAGCCCTGCTTCAGAGTTTCCTCAGCATGCTGCTTTTTCTAAAGAGGAGCAAGACCTTCACCAAAAGATGGGAACA